TAGCCATAGCAGCTTACATAATAAACATGCGTAATTTCTGTCTTTTCAAACATGCTTGAGGACTAAAGTAACTAAGAAAGAGGTTAGAGGGTAAGCACGGTTGTGCCTATTTATCCCTTATAGTTTGAATGTCTTGTGGTTGCCCCTGTTTATCTACTTCACATTTGCAATGGAAGTAAGATAATCTTTAATTAGAAAATGAAAAATAATTTCAAGCTTAGTTTTATATTGCTTCATTAATGCATATATAAAATTACTACTAACTACATAACACTAGAAATTTGCAGTCATGCAATAGAATGTTAGTATACTCATCAGACTTATGTGACCTGCCACTATTGCTTAAACTTTCAACTGGACCCAGTTTTAATAAACATGCAGAGTAAACCCTTTGATTCAGAGGAATTACAGAAAATATGAACACATGCAAATTTTCAACTGGAAGTTTTAGTAATTGCTTAGAAATGCAGGCAGGTGCTTCACATCTATCATGATGTTCTTTTAAGACCACCATCCAGTAATAGGCTCATATTTATATCCTGCCCTTTTTGGGTAAGGAATAAGATAAAAACATGGATAAAGAATTAAGAGATGCACAAGAAAGAATTGTAGAGCAGGAAGTTTTCTGGGCCATTTACTGACAGCTAAGATTGTGGGTGGGGGGTAAAAATGTTCTTAGGCAAAATGGTTCCTTCTCTAATTCTCTCTCATGAGAGACCCCTGCATAACTCCCTACGGAAAGGAGTTGATGAGCAGAGCTAGTACAATGTCAACTCAAGCTTTAATGTCCTAAAGCTTAGCATAGCCCTCTGCTTTTAAAACCACTGGCTAAGGGATCCTTCCAAAATGATATAATATCCAAGCAATGTTATGAATAGACTACAAGCAACTTGCTGGCACCAACAGCACCATGAGAATGTAAACTTGAGGCCAAGGGTCTTTTCAGTTTGTATATCACAAGTACATAAAGTAAACAAGAGACCACAAGAACTCTGAAAAGGAACCATAAGCACTGAGACTACAGGCATTTGTAGCATATTTTAGAACTATTAATATGGTTTTTAAGGGTAATTTTGTTTGGGGTAACTGAACATCACTGTAATTAGTAACCATGTCATGATCATGCAGATATCTGAATATTGCTTGGTTATTCTGTGTCTAACACTAATAAAAAAGGACATTAAGGAGGAGCCATAATCATTTTACTGTCACCTTTTCCTCATCCATTGAAGACACCATATACAATAAAAACTATTCAAGAGATTCACTGATTTGTACTTGTTTTTTCCTCCCTCTGGAAAAAAAAAGAACAAATACAGTCTTTTCAGGGGATCTTTTCAAAGTGCTAATGGCCAAGATGGACATGAAATGAAGTCTAAGTTGGCCCAGTTCAACTACTGTATTCTCAGGTGAGCTGTTTATTGCTCAGATCAAAAAAGTAGTCTGCCAAGTTCTTATCAAAAGAAGCAGTCACAGGCCATAGGCTTCTTCATAGATAGGATTTAAAAAAAAAAAAAAAAATGAAACTGGGATAGTCTTTGGTTATTTCCCTCAATCTTTGTTTCTTACCTTTATTTCTTTTCAGACAAGGTCTTGCTATGTAGCCCAGGCTGCCCTTGAACTTACAGCAATCCTTTTATCACCATCTCCCAAGGGTTTGGATTATAGGTGTGTACTACCATGTCTGCCAACAGCTTACCTTTATTTTTTGATTTAACCAGTATAATACTAAAAGAGCTTCACATCTGTAATAAAGCTTCTTACCTTTAAAACCTAACTTCATCATAGGATGAAAACCCACCTATCCAGATTCTTGGGTATTTTTTTAAACCCTAATCATATACAACACTTCCTTTTTACAAATGTACCCAGCAAGCAAACAGAGAAAGTTGACAAAGCAGAAAAGATGGCATTATACAAATGCCTGCTGCCAATGAGAACTTAAGCAAAACCTCATGTGGGCTTCTGAGGCTGCAAGAGTGTATTTGTTTATAGGTTAAGCACTAGAAAGACTTCAACAGCTCTAAGCCTTTACTTTGGAAAAGAAAGTTTTTAAACTTTGAAATACACAAAAATTGGTATTTCTCACTTAGCATATTCATATACATTTCTACTATTTTAAAAGAATGTACCTTTTATCTTCTCTTTACCTACATTTTCCTTTTATGTAACTGTTAAATCACAGAGCCCCAACTCAACTCATAACCACTTACCCTACTGTAAAAGTCTGCAAATACAGTTCACTATACATGCAAAACTTATTGCTACTAAAAATTCTACCTCTTGAATTTATTAACTTGTTTTATGGCTTTTTTTTTCCAACAGGAAATATTCTTTCTTATATACTATGTTATTCTGCATTCACTACTCTTTCAGAGTTTTTAAAAATATTTTTCTGAAACAGATTCTCCCAGGCACTAAGCTACTTGAAGCAAGAATACAACTATTATAAGTACACAATGAGAACCTAAACCTGGGTCCCTAGAGATCTCCTACCAGAATCTACTTTCTAAATTTGCTTGTGCATGATACACATGAAAATAGTTTACATTTCCTATCATACTAATGTAGAATGTGTCAATCCTGGACTCTCAATACTGAGATCTAAGAAGCACTCCAGAAAACTGCTACCTCCAAGTTCTCGAGGCAGCTTTTAGAGGTAGAATTCCTTTTTACAGAAAAACATTTTTGCTTTCAGAACAAAATTGTTTTATTTCTGTAAGGTAGAAAAAAGTGAAAACTGTGTAAAACTTACTATATCCAAGGGAAAGAAGCCACTTATAACATGTCAATTGAGGAAGGCTACATCTAGCTACATTTCAAATTCTCATGAAAAGGTTTGGAATCCCATCAATACACAACTAAGCAGATTTGGAAATATTTAACAATCTAAGATTCTCCAAACCACTGTTTTCTTTAACCCATGTACTATAGACAGGAAATGTAAATGGCCTAGAGATTAGATAAGCACTCACTGAAGTAATTAACATCTCAGTAAGACATGCAAAATGTAAAATAATTTCTGGATGCAAAACGAGTTAGGAAAAATGAACCCAAGTAATACAATGTGAAGACGTATAAGAACAAGGTTACCTCAAACCAAAAGAGCAATGCAGAATTATACAATGACTCATTTTGATTTAAGGTTTCATAAGACACAAAAGCAGCTATTTCTAGCTACCTTGTGGAAAACTTACACATCTTCAATGTTTCAGATTGTGAACGAAGATTTCTGGTTTGGCCTTAATCTCATTTCCCCAGGTACAATATCAGATTCAAATATTTATGAAAAAAGAAAGTCTAGATATTCCACTCATTTTACACTATTGGCTATTATCAGTAATTCAGTAATTCATCTTGAATTACTGAAATTATTTCTAGGCTCATGCACTAACCCCTAACATGGTACTACAATATGCTACCAAGCACTAATGCTTACAAAACTATACACGTCTCAAAATGGAAGACATTGGTGATTTTGTTGTTCTTAAACAACTTGTAACATTTGTCCACAAGTATTAAAATATATATATATATATATATATTTCTATTGCACATATCCCGTTTTTGTTTAAAATCTCCAAAGGAAAAACTGCCAGATAACATGAATGAGCCAAGAAAAGGAGGCACAGCTACAGGTCGAGGCATAGTTCTAAAATTTTTAAACTTTTTGCTATTAATAAGGGGCTAAAATAGACCAGAAAATTAATACAAAATAATACAGGGCAACTACATTTGGGAATTTACCCATCTAATCAAATGCCACCTGATGCCAACCCTGGAAGATGTGGAAACAGTGTCACTGAAAGACAGCTTTGAACACTGGTTCCCTGAACTACAGGCTGAAAAGTAGAAGCATTTGGAGGTGGCTCTGAACTTGTTCAAATAAGTGGGTCCAATCTGGTTTCACTGGCATTAACATTCCCTGCCCAATGACCATGATGTAGTTATCAAAAGGTCATGAAAACGACTAACAGAAAATTAGAAGATCCAACTTCTCCATGATACATCCTCAACCTATCAGTGGGACTCCCTTTTTCTTTTCTTCCAGTACTGGGGATCCAACCCAGGAGCCTATATGTGCTAGGTACTTCCTCTTAACACTGAGCTACATCCCCATATCCCCTATACCCTTTTCTAAATTTTGAGATGTTCTAAATGGCCCAAACTGGTCTGAAACTTGTGATCCTCTTGCCTCAGCCTCCTAAAGAGCTGGGTATATGCCACCACTTACAGCTCCATTCTATCTCTTAACAGTTTTAAAATACTAATGGAGGGCTAAGGGTATAGCTCAGCGGCACAAGCGCCTGCCTGGCAAGTGCAAGGTCCTGAGTTTGATTCCTGGTACCAAACACAAACAAACAACATAGCAAATACTAATGGAAAGTATCAGGAAGTAACTAGGAAGTCAAGAGAAAAATTTAAGCTACCTTAAGCAAAAAATATTTTTGCCTTTTTCAGACAGGGTCTCAATATGCAGTTCAGGCTGGGCTTGAGCTCATTTTGTAGCCCAGGCTGGTCTCAAACTCACAATGATCCTCCTGCCTCAGCCCCCCAAGTGCTGGAACTACAGATGTGCACCATGACGCCTGGCCACCATTAGCAAAGTTACCCTTTAGCCAGTATTATTTTCATTATGCTCTATCACTAACTGTCCTCAATTAAAAGAAGTTACATTTAAAGCACCTGCTTGAACAAAATCAGGTGCAGAGGACTGTGATTCAATCCCCAGCTCCGCATGCTGCACTAGACTCACCCTTAAGGCAGCCTGAGCTGGCCAAAAAAGAAAAAAAATCCTCCTCAAGGCCAGCCAAACAGCTTATTGGATTAAAGTGCCTGCTTAGGCAGAAGCAGTGGCCAGGTCTGCCCCCAGGGCGCACCAAGAGGGCAACTAAGACTGGGTGTGGTAGTGATTGCCTGTAAGCCAAGCTCTTGGGAGGCTGAACACAGGCGGATCACTAAGAGTCCAATCTACATAGTGAGACCCTGTAAAACCTTACTAAAATAAAAAAAAAAAAGTTATATTTTATCTATACTATGTGTTTTATGACTTTTTTTCCCCATTCAAGTAGGTTGACTAATCTAACCATTACAGTATTCAACAGTTCCCATTTTTGGTTATTTCTATCACTCTGAAATTTTGGTAAACCTACCTAAAATTCCCAGCATCGTTAGTACCTTGGGGAACTAATCCACAAAACAGAGAAATGATCTAACAAGTTTAAAATTCTTCTCACAAAGAATCAAAAATAAAGGTTTTGCTCTTCTTATGTGGAGATCTGACATCTCATACAACGGTCCTGTTATTTGGAGGGACAGGGTTCTAAGATAGTGTGTTCATGATAGAATTAATTATGAAGGAAAAAATCAGGCAGACCACTAATTATTATTGGAACTAGTCTTCTGGAGGTTTTCTTTAGATCCTAAATTTCTTCTAAATCTATAATGATCAGCCACAGACTTGGGAACATTATTTCTGACTTATTCTCTGAGGAGAAAGCTCAGTTCTAAGTAGGGATAGTTACCTGAGTTCTAGCCTTTTCAGCCTAATATACCTATTGCCTAGAAAAATAAAACATTAAGTGCCCATCCTATGTCAAAGAAAAAGTTCATAAAAAATGGAGCTTTATAAAATAGGTCAAAACTCAGATGGTGCTACATAAGACATTTTGCTTGTTTTTCTTAGGAGCAAGGTCTACAGATATTTTTCTCATTTTATCTCTACACCTCCGTGTGCACAGAGTTGAGGGCAGTCTGTACAACAGGGCCCATTATATCTTGTGGCACTTTTCTTCTGGCCTTCACCAAAAGGAAAATGAAGTTTCATGTGCTATGTATGACTGACTCCAAAAAGGGATGAAGAATTTGTCACATAGTAGCTATTTTTCAGCTTAAATAAGTAAATAGAATTCCGTCACTGGGCTCAAACTCTTGTTTTCTTTTATCATGCTTTCAACTAAGTGAAAACATGCATTTCACAGGATTAGCTGCTGTGCAAGTTGATCCTATGAATGAAAAAAAAAATTTTATATATTGAATTTCAAAAACTTCTAGAAAAGAAGTTAACATCATCCCTCTCTAGGAGAAAAAAATTCTTTTGTTCAAAAATGTGGGTTTACATGTGTAAAATGTGTATCTACAGAAACTGATGGTTTATTTACATAGGCAATCAGCCTTAATATCTTCATACTTCTTTATAATATCAAAGGTTTAATTACAAAAGTGGACCTTTGTTCGCCTCCAGTAAACCGATGTCAGGATAACCCAGGATTTCATGATATATGTAACATTTTAACATATCTTTCATTTCAAATCACAATGACTATTTGGAAGTTACTGCTGTAGTCTTAACTGTGCTTCTCAGATAGTGGCCGAAGCTGGAAGACATTTTTAAGAACCCCTGAAGTCATCCATACTTGTTGTTTATATATTCTTCTTGTTTGAAACAAAGTGAAAGAATTCACAAATATCATGACCTAAGCACCTGTTTAAAATTAAACATTTATGTCTTCAGCTTGGAAAATAATTTCTTTATAATTAAGAAAACCACAGCTGAAACCCCATGTCAGCTGAGGGGTTTTCCAGGAGAAGTCACAAGATAACTGCATCCTAAGGGTTTCTCTGTGTTGAAGCTGAGAGATGGAACAAAACAAAGCCATCTTTTTCATTCCAAACCATGGAGGTGATGTGCAGAAAGATATCCATGTCCTCTATCCAGGGAAGAGGGTGAGTAAAAGAACCGCTGGTCTAGAAGACAATGCAGAAATACCTGGAAAAAGAACAAAACAAGATTAAACCAAGAACTTGTGCATGAGCTTACTTTAATATTCAAAAAACACATAAAGAAAACAGTATTTTGTATTATATGTTGTCTAAAAGAAAGTGCCTAACTATAATACCAAATTCACTATTGTTTTAAGGAAAGCAGCAGTAGAACTAGGCATGGTGGCACATGAATATAATCCTAGTACTCTGAGAGGCTGAGGCAACAGATCACAATTTTTGAACCTAGCCTAGGCAAATTATCAGCAAGAAACTTAAAAAAAAAAAAACAAACAGTAAAAATGTTGTGGATGTAGCTCAGTGCAAAGGTCCTAGGCTTAACCCCCCCAATAATCAAAAAGAAAAGAAAAAGAAAAAAAAAAACCCTCAAAAAATATATACAGCTAATTTAAAAAAAAAAAAAAAGAGCCAACACAACAAAACAAAAAAAACCCTCAGTAAATCA